TTTTTTTTTTTTGAGCAAAATATTAAAAACCCATCCGTGATTAAATACCACCAAAAGAAAGCTTTATTTGTGTGAACAGATACAAATTTCATATGGGTATAGTGTTGCATGACTGAAAAGTGTCATTCACAGTGGAAGAGTGCTGAAAATTTAAGAAGTTGAATGTGCCTGGTATTGAAGTGATTTAATAGAAGTGTTTTGCAAGAAAAAATTTCTCTGTAAAAAAAATCAGTTTTGTCTCTGTTTAATATAAAAATGCTACTGGTTTTAGGGTGCTTTTTTTTATACTGAAAATATGGGCCTATTTTGTTGACTTGTATTTCCAGAATGTGGGAGCAGTAACTTTTGACCCTTTCTATAAGGATCATATGTTTCCACCCACAGATACCTGTGTGCATCATCTCTGTAGTTCCCGCTGCCCCCTCCCCCACCCTCACTGCACATCATTGATATTTCACTGTTTAAGCCTGGTACACACTAGAAAAACTGATCTTAGTGTGGTGATTTTCCCATACCCCACTCCAAAAAAAACACTGAGCAGTGCTGTTTGGATTCAGCATGTCTGTTCTACAGAAGCCAGTCTCATGACCAACTTCTGTCGAACAAACAGCTGAACACACAGGCTTAAAGTCATACAGGGCTTTATTGCAGCTTATCACCATGATAATTCAGCCACTTAACAGGCTAAAACGTTCTTCAGCAGTGATAACTGGTGATGTGCAGAGCAAAGACAAGCCATGATGATGATTAAGTGGACACCCATATGGGACAGCATATGTGGTTTTTGTTTGTTTTTATTTTAAGTTGAACTTTCTAAGGTTAGCCCATTTATTTGCATGGGCTTCTGGCACATCAATGTAGCAAAAAAAAAAAGCACATACACTAGTTTTTTTGGATACAGCGCACAACAATACAGGCTCTGGGTTGTAGTGTGTGGTTTGTGTGGCAGCACAAACATAGTGCTCATAACAGGCCTTATACCTAATTTGTTAATGAAAACCTAGATACTTCACCGTTTCTTCTTCCTAGGACCTGGCATAGTTTAAAAGGTTCATAACCTTTTTCTGCATGTAAAACATCTGATGCGTGGTCTCTGGAAATGCTTAAATTAACATTTGCTATCTAAATTGTCTACAATAGTGTTCTTTATGACCATTTTTCAACATGTTCATGGAACTAGAATTTTGATAGATTGTTGTTGGATTTTTCTATATCTGCCTTTTTCAACCAGGGTGCCTTCTGGTTGCTTCAAGGGTGCCCTGGCAAAATTCCCAAAAATGGTATAAAAACCAGCAAATGGATCAAGTCTGTCTTTTTTTATTTTTAGACAAAGCTACAGATTTTCATTGTGTACCATTTACAACTTTTTGGCTAGCTGCTGGCAACATAATCAATGATGTCTTAAGTTGATAAGGACATCGGGCTCCTGCCCACCATCCTTGCTTGCTCCTGTCTGCAATGGGGTCCTGTTAGCTGAGGGAGGAGAGAAGCCATAGAATGTTAGTCAGTACCAGTATGCAAAGGTGTATTTGCTTTGGAAGAATAATTGCCTCTAACATTGGGTTTCCTACATGTACAGATGTTGCTGCTTTCTGTAGAACGATTGCTATAGTTTTTTACATTTTGTAATGGGTGGCTTAGGACTGTGCTGAATTTAAAATTCAAGGGTGCCTTGACTAAAAAAAGGTTGAGAAACCGTGTTCTGTATGTTACATAATAAGATATATACATTGTGTTGCCAAAAGTATTGGGGCACCCATCCAAATCTTTGGATTCAGGTGTTTCAATCACCATTCAAGTATGGTACTGTGATAGGTTACCACCTGTGCAATAAGTCCATCCATGAAATTTCCTGATACTACATATTCCACAGTCAACTTCTAGTGCTATTATAACAAAGTGAAAGCAACTGGCAACCACAGCAATCAGCCACAAAGTGGTAGGCCACGTAAAATGACTGGGGGATGGGGTCAATGCATCCTGAAGTGTGCAGAAGTCTCCAACTGGCTCAGCAGAGTCAACAGCTAAAGACATACAAACTTTGTGTGGCCTTCAGATTAGCACAACCATGCGGAGAGAGCTTTATGAAATGGTTTTCCATGGCTGAGCAGCTGTATCCAAGCCTTACATCACCAAGGGCAAAGCGTTGTATGCAGTGGTGTAAAGCACGCCACTACTGGACTCTAGAGCAGTGGAGATGTGTTCTCTGGAGTGACCAATCACGTCTGGCAATCCGATGGACATGTCTGGGTTTGGTGGTTACTGCGAATGATACTTACCTGACTGCATTGTGTAAAGTTTGGTGGAGGGGGATTATGGTGTGGGGTTTGGCTTGGCCTTTTTTGTTCCAGTGAAGGGGACTCTTCAGGTATCAGCAGCATACTTTGACATTTTGGACAATTTCATGCTCCAACTTTGTGGGAACAGTTTGCAGATGGCCCTTTCCTGTTCCAACATGACTGCGCCCCGGTGCACAAAGCAAGATCCATTAAATCATGGATGAGTGCGTTTTGGGGTGGAGGAATATGATTGGCTTGCAGAGTCCTGACCTCAACCCGATTTAGAACACCTTTTGGGATAAATTAGAGCAGAGACTGTGAGGCCTTCTCAACCGACACCAGTGCCTGACCTCACAAATGTGCTTTTGGAAGAATGGTCAAACCTTCCCATAGACACCCTCCTAAACCTTGTGAACAGCCTTCCCAGAAGAGTTGAAGCTGTTATAGCTGCAAAGGGCGGGCCAACTCAATATTGAACCCTACGGACTAAGACTGGGCTGCTCTTAAACTTAATGTGTGTGATATTTTTGGTAGTATAAGGTAGCATCTTCATATCCATACAGTTATGCTGCCATGTTTGGGTGATTGTACACTAATAAAATGCTAGTATGAGGTCCTATCAAGTTTCCTGAGCTGGCTGTGTGGGATTACAGGTCTCAGCAGCACAGCGTGGTATAAAACTGGGGAGTACAGAAATTCCTGGTGGTGGGAGTACTGGTTGCTGCAAGTATACAGCCTACCTTCCTGGTGGTTTTCTTACTAAAGGATACCAGTGCTTCGGTGGTCTTGAGAATTGCGCCTTTCAGCTGATGAGCATTGCTATTTACTAGTAAACGGCTACCTGTTTATTTTTTCAGCAGGCCATGTCTCACAGATGGCAGAGAGGAGGGAGTGAGGGGTCCCAAATACCTACTTGTAGGAAACTGGGAGTAACCCCCAGGCAAACTATCTCTTGGGCGGCGGGTTGTTCTGTGTGGCTCTGACTTACTTTCCTTAGCTTGTATTTCTGCTACCTCTGAGGCATCTCCTCCAGCAGCAGCTGTCTAGAATACTTGCCAGCTTGAACTGCCTTGGTCACAAACAAGTGTTCACCTGCTCACCCCCCTCCCCCTTAATGACAGAGGAGGAACTATTCTGGTAGAAGGGGGACAGAGAGGGATTCTCATCTGAGGAATCTACTTCTGAAGATTTCCAAGGACAGGACTTATCTCCTACCCAAAAGGCGTTTTTTTGAGTTTTCTCACTGACGTAGTCCAGACTAGTTTAAAGTTACTTCTGAGTCCTCTTCTCCAAAGGTTTCAATTGGATTTGAATTGTGGTCACTACCAAATCCTCAATCCTTCTCTATACATTATTTAAAGTGTGTTTTGTATATGTACTAGGCTCACACTCGCAAGGTGTGTGTTCTGCCAAAAAAGGTTCGCTCACCAATACCTCATGCAAAGTGCGTTCACGAAGAAATGGTAGTATGTCCTCAGTGGATCCAGCAGTTTCTCATTTCAATAACAACTGCACATAAGCAGGGGATGGTGACCTTGTATTTAAAGACACCGAGGAGCGATGCCTGGAGGTGCTTTATAAAACCTCTTGCGTTCATGAGAGCACCTTTACACCCAGCCATTGCAGTTGTAGGCGTAAGCCAAAGTGGTTGTAAAAGCTCAGGAATTTTTACCTTTATGCATTTTATGCATAAAGGTAAAAAAGCTACCTGTGTGCAGCAGCTTCCCTAGCCCCTCCTAATACTTACCGGAGCTGCCTCTTGATCCAGCATTGTGTACAAGAGCAGCGGCTCTCCTAGGACTCTCCCTCTTCATTGGCTCCTGCTACTGTCAATCACAGTCAGTGAATTGACCCAATGAGAGAGTGGGGCAGGGCCAAGCCACACTATGTATGAATGGCCAAGCAGAGCAGTGGCTTGGGAGCGAGCCTCTTTGGGTGCCCCCATAGCAAGCTGCTTGCTATGGAGGCATAAGGGGAGGGGCTAGGCACACCAGCGGGGGGACTTGAGAAGAGGAGGTTTAGGGCTGCTCTGTGCAAAACCACTACATGTAGCAGGTATAAGTATGACATTTATTTTTTTTTTTTAAATGCCTTTAATATCGCTAAGGTCTGGGAGTGTAGGATCGTATGAAAGAGAGGGATCCAACTAGTGCTGATACCGTATTTGACAAAAATTTGAAGATTACTCACGTGGACACCTTTGAAAGACTCCGTAGAGCAGGCATGTCCAAAGTCCGGCCCACGGGCCAATTGCGGCCCGCGTTCCGGACTGAAACGGCCCCACAGGTGAGCTACCCAAATATATAACTTACAGCCCCCGGTAGTGATTCCCTGAAAGCTACTGAGGACTCCAGCGATCTCTTGACATCATCAGCTGGCGCAGGAAGGAGAGCCCAAATCTCGTGACGTCCGAGATCTCGTGAGATTTGGGCTTTCCTTCTCTGTGTGCCGGCTGATGACGTCAATTCCCGCTCGACAGATCCCTGGAGTCCTCAGTGGCATTCGCAGAATCGCTAGTGGAGGGCCGTAAGTTATATATTGGGCAGCTCATCTGTGGGGTCCGGAACGTGGGCCGAGGGATCCCAGGTGGTGCGCAGGGAATTACTACTGGGGCTACCATTTACCGTATTTTTCGCTCCATAAGACGCACTTTTTTCCCCCAAAAAAATGTCAGTGGAAAATGTCAGTGCGTCTTATGGAGCGAATATAAAGCGGCCGGTCCGGTATTTCTGCCGCCACCATGTCAGAATACCGGGCCGGCCGCTCAGCTGTTTGTCTCCTGCAGGGCCTTACCTGTTCCTCGCTCCAGCGCTGTACAGTCTTCCCGCGCTGGCTTCTGTGACAGCCGGGTGCCCACTGCGCATGCGCTTGGCTTTGTGAATGGTCATCGCAGTCTCTGGTCATCTCCTGTACTGTGTCCGCAGTCTCTGGTCATCTCCTGTACTGTGTCCGCAGTCTCTGGTCATCTCCTGTACTGTCTGCAGTCTCTGGTCATCTCCTGTACTGTGTCCGCAGTCTCTGGTCATCTCCTGTACTGTCTGCAGTCTCTGATCATCTCCTGTACTGTGTCCGCAGTCTCTGGTCATCCCCTGTACTGTGTCCGCAGTCTCTGGTCATCTCCTGTTCTGTGTCCGCAGTCTCTGGTCATCTCCTGTACTGTGTCCGCAGTCTCTGGTCATCTCCTGTACTGTGTCCGCAGTCTCTGGTCATCTCCTGTACTGTGTCCGCAGTCTCTGGTCATCTCCCGTACTGTGTCCGCAGTCTCTGGTCATCTCCCGTACTGTGTCCGCAGTCTCTGGTCATCTCCTTTACTGTCCTCAGTCTCTGGTCATCTCCTGTACTGTCCGCAGTCTCTGATCATCTCCTGTACTGTGTCCGCAGTCTCTGGTCATCTCCTGTACTATGTCTGCAGTCCATTGGTTCAGAATTTTTTTTTTCCTGTTTTTCGCCTCTAAAACCTAGGTGCGTCTTATGGTCAGGTGCGTCTTATGGAGCGAAAAATACGGTATCAATTTGGGCTATAATGGATTGGTGCTCAGGATCGCTTGACGTCATCAGACAGTGCAAGGAGAAACAAAGCCCAAATCTCGCGACCTCCGAGATCTCGCGAGATTTGGGCTTTCCTTCTCCCTGTGCTGGCAGAGTGATTTAACACCTGTTTAGATTTGTCATCCAAGTCACAAAATGAAAAGTATGCCGTTTTCAATAAACTTTTGCATAAAATAGTTCATTTGCATTTAATTTTAATGGTTCATCAGAATGTCGGGCAAAATGGCCGGCCCTCGCACATGTTCACTTCATCAAATCTGGCACTCTTCCAAAAAAGTTTGGACACCCCTGCCGTAGAGCAACTTTCTTGCTGGGGGGGGGGGGGGGGGGGGGGGTCTTGTTTTTACATGCCATGATCTTGTGGCTGAAGTGTTGGGGAATTTCCTGGCAAGAAGCAAGTGGAATGTTCAGTCCTACTCTGGATGATTACACCCAGAAGGTGACTGGTAAGGGTACTCTTCTTAGAAGGCTAAGCCTACAGTGCCAAAACCTGCTGCCCTTTATACTTCAAGAAGCATTTCTTTGGACTTGGAGTCACTTCCTTAAGTGTGCATGGGGGGCCAGGTCTTCTAAGAGGTTCGGCAGAGGGATGGGTTCTCAACACTAGTTTGTAGCTGCAAGCTGATATTTCCAGCTTTCACACTTCATGCTTTCAAATGTTTCTTTCGACCCACAAAAGAAATTTGCACTCTTGTTAAATTTTGATTGTCTCCTATCTCATTCCAGTTCCAGAGGATTTAAACATTTGCAGATTCTACTACTGTTTCTTCAGTCTGTGTCCCCCCCACAGTCTAACTAATCTTTGCCCAGAGGTTGGAATATCTGTGCCTGGACAGCTTCCCTTTGGACAAATGCCTTACTCTCCAAGAACTTAAAGTACCGTGAGGTCCCCAAGAAATCCACATCACTCCTGAAGGGTTTTTAATTCTTTACTGTCAGCTCTTTTGTTTTGCATTTCAGTTGTCAGTGGGAAATTGCTGCTAACAGCAGGGATGAGTCATGGTTGTTAGGATGCTGGTGGGTGCCATCTCCTTAACAACCAGCAGCCTTGAGCTGAACAGTCACATTTAACAGTGGTAGGACTAATACTGCTAAATGATCTGCTGCAGCCAAGGGTCTGGACTGCTTTAAAATAACATGCAAAGTGCGGTTTAAAGGGATGCAATGTCTATCTGTATACCTGACATGGTTTAAAGAAAAACGGATGAGTTAAAATACGTCATATATTTTTGAGTTGAGTTTTACAGTTTTTGTAGCTGCTGACTTTTAATAAACGCACCTGTCCCAGAGTTCAGCGACATTCTCACCCGGGCTGTCCCTTCTCTCCTCCACGGCACTGGCATCTCAGCTGTGGGCACCAGGCTGGCATCTTGTGGCTTCTCAGCCTGGTGCTCACTGTGCATGCACAAGTCATGCTGCGTCTCCTGGGACCTGTGAAAGTTCCTGGGAGACTGCGGGAGGGAGGAGGGGGCCAAACTTCCTGCTCACTTCACCACGGGGAACTGAGCCAGAAGTGGGAGCGGGTACCTGCTCCACTCCCCCCCCCCCCCCCCCCCCCCCCCCCCCCCCTGGGGTAGGCAGATAAAGCAGAGCTTCCGCTTTTGAGTGGAACTCTGCTTTTAACTATGGTGAAGTCTTTCCTTCCTTTTCACTGGAAAAGTGATACTAGTCTATCTGGTCAGGGGTGAGTGTTCTACTCCCTCATGGTGCAGGGAACATGATCATAGGGGGAAGCTAAGCTCCCCATCATCCCAGAGCTTAGAGCAGTAAGGATGGCTCTGCAAACCTGGACCCCCTCCTCTCCTGTAAGACCACCCAATCAGGGTTCAATAAGACAGTTCCATGGCTGTGGCCTGCATCAGCCACCACGTGGGCACCAGGACCCATGCAGCCTTGAAGGAAGCAGGTCTGACCCATCTCATGGACAGAGTCATTGAGGGAGATTTACTAAAACTGGAGCACTCAGAATCTGATGCAGCTGTGCATAGTAACCAACCATCTCCTAACTTCAGCTTGTTCAATTAAACCTTGACAATAACACTTAAAAGGTTGATTGGTTTCTATGCAGAGTTACACCAGATTTTGCATGTTCCAATTTTAGTAAATCTCCCCCATTGTTCAGCAGCCTCTACTGTCCATGTCCCAGGAGTGGACAACTGAAAGCCAAATTAACTCCGCTTTCACTGCCTGGACTAAAGTGATTGAGCCCTTCACCCTGACATTGTCATCGGAGATGGGGGACCCCGGATGTGGATATCCAGGCCTCCAGATTCAATAACAAGCTACCTCTGATAGTGGCCAGGACAAGGATCCTCTACCACTGGCATCAGATGCCTTGGCAATGCCCCTGGTCTCAGTTCAGACAGGTTCTATGCCTTCCCTCCAGTTTGAATTCCGCTTAAAACAATTGTAAACCTCAGACATGAAAAATGAACAAAACATATACCCTTATAGTTTGTACTTGTCTCAACCTAGAGCACTGAGGCTACATTCATACATGCACACTGGCTTAAAAATCGTTGCATCTGCAGTTTTGTGTTTTTTGCCTGGAGAAGCAGCTCAGTGTTGTCCTTTTTTTTTCCCAAGTGTTTTTTCCAGGCGGTTTTGAACGGTTTTAGAGCAGTATTGCCAATATGGCAGGAGTATTTTTTTTTAGGCATTTGTCATTTAGACATTTGTGATGTGGCCAATAGAAACTTGTGTGTATGTGTCCAATGAAAACCTGTTTACAAGTACATAACGTTGCTTGCTGCTTTCTGGGAAACCTGCAGCTGAAATGTTGAAAACTTCTAGGCAGGTTTTACACAGGATGGAGAAGACTGATCACATAACTGGATCTCAGTTGAATACAGCTGCAAGCTTCCACAAAAGTTCTAGAGCAAGATATGAAGTTTAAAAACCATGGCAAATCATGCCTGACTGACATGCCTGCAAGAAATGCCGTAGAAAGGTTCTAGGCACGTACAACAGGAAAACCAGAATCAAGCACATGGCTGCTGTACACAGAAGTTCTGTACCTTTCTCCTTTTCTGGGGAGCAGTGTACCTATTTCAGTGTGGCAGCAAGCTTCTTCCAACTGCCTCCCATTCTTTGGGGGTTCTTGCTTGGCCCTTACAATGGGGATCCCAGGGCTCATAGATGCAGAGGTGGCCATGAATTAGCACAATGAAGCTCTCGGCTTCCAGCAGCAAGCTCTCCTCCATTTTGAACAGCAGATGTATGTTTATAAGGTGTGGTGTGATGCTAGAAAAGGGGAGAGGAGCTGCTCTTTGAGCTGAAAACACTTTTAAAAAAATGCTAATTTCTTGCTGTTCATACATTTTCTGTTTGAAGTCTATGGGGACACAAATTTCAGTGACACTTGTTTTGCTATAGGCGACAAAATGCTCAAAGTTGAACAGGGGCCATTGAAAATGAATGGGATTTTACTTGTTGAGCCTTTTTTCAGCTTGAAGCTCAGAAAGACTCAAGTGTCTATGGGGTCTGAGTGTCATTTCTGCCTGCTGGCTCATTCCTCTATCCGCGTGAACCACTACATTTTACTGATCCCAAGAGAAAAAAGGTCCCGAGAGGGCACAGCATCCTCAACTCTCTTCCTGTGTGCTGTGTACAGAAGGGGTGTGTTCCTCTCCTCCAATCAGCTCTCAGAGCTTGCCTCACTGATGTAACTTCAGCTCTCCACCCCCTGCTTTTCAGAGCCCAGTGATCCTGTGTGAATTCTGCACTTTAAATACATGTAGTGGAGAAATACTGTAGATAAACAGGCACATCTTAGGTGATACAGAGATGAAACAAATCCTCCTACATGAGGCCAGTCCCTTCTCTGGGTATATGTAAGGATTTACAACCACTTTAATCGGCTCCACAAAATAGGACAAGAGAAGAAGTCGGTAATTCTAATTCCAGCAAACTGGCCCAGAAGAACCTGGTACCCAGACATACTTAGACTACTCAGAGATGACCCCTGACCTCTCCCCAACATGCCAGACTTGCTCAGGGCCCTGTACTTCATCCTGCTTCTCAGTTACTAACTTTTAACGGCAGAGCTATTGAAGCTCAGGTCCTAAAGGACAGAGGGATCTATGAGCCTGCTTTTCCTACCTTGTTGAACGCAAGAAAGCCACTTCCAGAAAGATCTATTATACCAGGAAATCCTTCTTTGCCTGGTGTCAACGCAGGCACTTCAGTCCCAGAGATTTTTGTGTTTTCATATTTTGTCTGTCCTACAATTAGGGCTTGGCCTTAAGCTACATAAGTAGACAGTAAAACAACAGCACAGTATGAAAGTGATATTGTCAACAAAAATATGGCACATTTGAAATGTACAATACATAAAAGTATATTAACATAAAAAAGAAGATAGAGGAAGAAAGAAAGTTATGAGTGCATGAGATACATAAATGATAAAATAGATTGAGTGATACATCTATCAACAATATATGTCAGC